AGGTAATAATAAAAGTTTTAACCTAAAAGTAACACATCATGAAAAGGTAAGTCAGTTGCTACTTTCATATAAAAAAAAAATATCACTGTGATAAAGAGAAAATTCAAGAGAGTGGGGCAAGAGTGTCCATAGAAAGAAAATGTATTTGATGTGAAGAGAGATCGATCGCAGGAGTTCTGAGACTGAGCACGGCAGATATGAAAGTTTTTCTGTAGGAATTAAATTGGCATTGATTTGTCTGGGGTCTAGGGCGCCTGAGGGAAATGGGAAGCCCCACACAGGTGACCCTGTTTGGTTTACAGCTTGGTGCACAGTTGTGTTATTCACAAATAACTGCAGGCAGGAAAATGCCAACAGCTGGCTCAGGGAGCAGTATGACAAAAATCCAACCTAAGTAAGTTCCAAAGCGGGGAGGGTGTTGGTTTGGCAAAGAAAATCAGTGAAGAGGTCTACAGGAAACATAATAATATGCAAGGCATCGCATACAAGGCAATACAGTTTATTATTATATGCAAAAGCCATGAATATAGGCTTTTTGAAATTTTATTGTTGAAAACACAATGTTTGGTCTAAAATAACATTTTGAGCATAGGCTGTTATGGGAATGGGTTCTGGAATGTTCTCACTCCCCTGTGAATGAGCATGTGTGTAGACAAGTTTGGATATTGCCCATCAGATAAATGCTCTGAGCTCCAGGCTGCAATAATAATAAGAATAGCGATTTCACATGTATAGTACCTTTGAAACCAAGTCATTACATATATTTTTTTTCAATAATTTTGGGATTACTCCATTTATTTAGTTAGTTTTTTTTTTTTTTTTTTTTGGGACAGAGACAGTAGAGAGCATGAAACTGGGAGGGAGAGGGAGACACACAGAATTTATGGCTCCAGAAGCTGAGCCATCAGCCCAGGAGAGCTCGACGCTGGGCCTGGCACCACCAATGGACCGTCAAGTGTGAGACTGTGACCCGGGCTTTCTGGAAGTCGATAACCATCATGCCGCCACCCAGGCTTCCCTAGTTTTTTAAAAAAAATATTTATTATTTTGAGAGAGAGAGCACGTGTGTAGGGCAGAGCAGAGAAAGTGGGGGGCAGAAGCCGTGCACTGGTCAGCACAGAGTCTGATGTGGGCTCAATCCCATGATCTGCAAGATCATGACCTGAGCCAAAATCAAGAAAGTTAGATGATGAACTAACTGAGCCATCCAAGCACCCCATTACATATTTATTTTTTTACTCGTTCCTTCTGGTTAGTTAACATAGTGCACATCACTAGGAGTAGAATCAGTGATTCATCACCACAAACCCCAGTGCTCATCCTACCAACAAGTGCCCCTCCACCATCACCCATTTAGCCCATCCCCCACCCCCTCTGTCTGTCAACTTGCTGTTTGTCTCCCTCTCCATCCTAAGAGTCTCTGTGGTCTGCTTCCCCTTCTCTTTCCCCAACCCTTACATGTCTATCTTGTTTGTTGAATTTCTCATGACTACAAAATCATACAGGTATTGCACTTTCACTGACTTGTTTCACTTAGTAAGGGACAATACATTTGTGCCTATCCTTCTTGCAGGTATTTTAAATCCAACTGTTGTGCAAGGACATAAAAAAAAATAAGGCTTATTTAGTTGAGACAAATTTGCAGAAGCCAAATTGCCACTGGTGAGTATTCAGGGGGTGGCATTGTGTGGCTCATTCTGCATTCTTGCAAGGCCAAATTGGACATGGGGAATCAGGTAGGGGGGCCTAAGAGAATGAGGCATGAAAAAACAATGAATTTGTGATGCAACCAGACAGTCAAGGATGAAATTAAAGCAGCATTGTAAAGCCCATTTCAAAACCAAATACACACCCCTGTTTTTCATGTGTGGTGTGGACAACCATTCATGGACCATAGAACACATTACTCAGCCTCAAGCTAGTTTTCTTTGGCTGGCTTGATATTTTGAGGAAAGTACATCACTGGGCATTCCACCCAGATCACTTTCTTTTTCTCAAGACAATTTGACATACTATTGAAAATGTCATTTTGTGCATTGCAAACGAATCAGTTATGCTTTTCAAGGAATGCATGATTCAAAACAAATATTTTAGCTGGTTACAATGCTATTAATGTATTCTTTTTAGAAACTCCTACTAGTCTTCATTAATATTGTGGTCTGTAAAATTAACATTTTTGGTTTCTGATCTCAAATAAAGCACTTTAGACATGAGGAAATAGGGGCGCCTGGGTGGTATAGTCAGCTTCTCCCTGGGACCAGCCAGGTCACGATCTGTCCTCCTGTGAGTTCCAGCCCCAAGGGCAAGGCCGGGCCTGGGCTGATGGCTCGAGCCTGGAGCCTGTTTCCCATTTTCTGTGTCTCCTTTCTTCTCTGCCTCCCACTCCACTTCCCTTTCTGTCCCAAAATAAATACAAAAAAAAAAAAAAAAATAGATGAGGAACATCTGTATCAGTGTGTAAAGTATCTGCCGGAAAGAAAGTTTGGGAAAGTCTCCACGGGATCGATAGGAGGGAACCACAGCTGGGCCTCAGCCTGGGTTGTTTGTGCTGTTTGGGATATATGAGAATACAGATTTAGCAGCTCATGTTCAATGGGAGATTGTAGCTACGAGGTGAATTCAGAAAATCAACACACGCTCTTGAACCAAGTCTTAAGACAAAGTACGTAAGAGTACTAAGGTTTGAATATTAAAAATGATGGTTTCTAATACGTCAGCAATTTTGGTCTGAAGGAGTTCCCAGAGAAAGACACACTGACAGTGGGGTAATTTAATCCAGTGAACATAATGTGCACCTAGGGGAATAGAGAAGAGGCAGAATTCCAACCAGCAAATGAGAGAGGGAAGATCTTTCAGGAGGTATGCATGCTCTCTGCCAGGTTTTCTTTCAAAGAGAAATAGAGGTCAACCAGTGGGGAAAAGAGGACAAAGGGCATTTGAGCAGATGGCACAGAAACGAATTGGGTGGTTGTGACTAGAGAAATGGACTGAGGGCAGGTAGAGAGGGGCAAGTTTAGGGGTAGGGTTAGATGGGAGTCTAGGATTTGGCTGAGGTAAGAGAAAGTGATTCATACATATAATGGTAGCCTGACTCATGAATAGTCTTGGAAAATTAACTACTCTGCAAAAGAAACAGAATATATGTATAAGTTGCGTTTGGTAATCCCAACCACAGCTCAGTAAGACTGGTCAGGTTTATTCTCTTCTTTCCACAGAGATCACCTCCTCCTTCTTGTGTATCTCCCTTTTCCAATTTCACGCTGTCTACACACATTTATTAATTGACTCACAAATACCACACATTTGTAATGGACACCTCAGTAGATTATGCTGCTTTGTTCAGCTGGCTACACCCCAACTTTTCACTGAGACCCTAAAGGGAGCTGTTAATTTTTATATTCCATGTTCACAGTAATTCATCTACAGATTTGACCAAACTAAATGAATAATACATAATGTTTGAAATTTAATACAAGAATACACACCAGATTTAATAAAATATGTGAAGAACATGGTGGGAGATACAATAAATTGACTGGGGTGTGGGCAAGCAAGTTCTCTATAAAATGGAGAAATCTTGTGCTTTTCATCAAGGAAAGAAAGAAAGGAAAAAAAGGGAAAGAGAGGAAGGAAGGAAGGGGAAGGAAGGAAGGAAGGAAGGAATAATGTGAAAGAAGGAAGGAAAGAAGAGATGCTGACAGAAGAGAGGCAGAAATGAATCCAGGTAGCAGAACTCTCACAAAATAGGTCCCAGCAAGAGCAAGGTCTCGATTGATGGGCACAGGCTTAATTCTATGAACCATATGTTGATAGATGACATCTTTGAAACATTATCCCAAACCCTCTGAGAATCTTCAATGGTATCATAAGCACTTTTTTCTTTTAATTCAAAGGAAACATGTATGGTGCAGATGTGCTATTATGTGTTACCCTTTGGGTGCATGAAAGCACTTGATGGGAAGAATGGAGAAACACAGAGTGAGAACACACTAACAAAGTTTTGGGAAGTGGTAGAGAGGTAAATCAATTGCAAGAGTAGGGGTGACAAACAGTGAACACTTGTCCATGGAGGAGTGCAGAGGACATGAGATATTTTAGATCTAACAATGGTGTGATCAGAAACCCCTTCAATATTGGGATTGACAAGGATGGAAAGAAAAATCACTGGAAATCTGTGAGAGATATTGGAGATTCATGTGAGAGCATATGTACCCCCTTACAATATATAGAGAGTAGTGCTTGCCATAAGGGTTCTATTAATCTCATGTATATGCACATAATACATAGACTGAGTGAATGAATGAATGAATGACTGAAGAAAGTTGAAATTCCACCCAATGACACACATGTGCTTGATGACATTAAGCAAATGTGACTTATGCTTTCGCAGCCTCATGTGGAGTGTGCCATGGATATTTAACTGCATAACACAGCCCCTCATCAGGCTCACTGAGTACCTCCTAAGAGTGTGGCTTGGTTACACCCCTCAGAAGTACTTGACATCTTGCTTGGCAAAGCTCTCCCCTCTAATGGTCATGGATATTGTAGCTCATGACACTATTTTTATGTTCATTATCCTTAATAAGATATTAGTAGTGTTTGAAGTAACAAATTAGTCATTCTCTACCGATGATTGAAAAGGCACCACCTTTTAACATTCATTCAACATAGGGATACTGTTCAATTTGTATGTACCTTTTCAGGGAAACCTATAAATGTACTTTATGTTTTTTTTTCAACTTCATTTCAATAGTAATTTTTTCAATATGCTAATGATGTGATCAAGTTAATGTGTTAGTGTTATATATTAGGATTACTAAAAACTGATAATGATATTCATGTGTATATCTTTTCTGAAGTTATATGTGATGTATCTGTTATTATATATAGTGCTATTTATATCGCTCAATCCAATACCTCAAATATATACATCTATTCTTTCTTCCTTTTTCCATTTTTCTCTGGCCTCCAGAGACATGATTCCTATACTTTTGATCTAGACTGGCAATATGAGGGTAAGATGACAAAATAAAAAATGCCAAACAACCTCATGAACATTGCTGTTCGTCTGTCTTCTGTTTTTTTATTCTTTTAAATTATTAAAATTTATTCACCTTTAATTAGACCCTTATCACAATTCTTCCAAAGTCCAATTATGTTTGTTTTAAAGCTTTAATTACAAATTTATCCTTGTTAATCATCTATGTTATTTCTTTGGGTTAAATTACCATCCCATTATTCTCTCGTCCATGACTTCTGCTCTCCAGTGGTTCCCTGCTGGTGTTTTCTCCAGAAGATTTGAGCAGTTTGGTGGTGTGCCAAAGTAATTAATATGTTAAGTGATGTTGCAGTCTCTGTGGTTGTTGGTGGAAAAAAATTAATCTAAAAATATTAAAAGTAATGATGCATAATAATTTACATATTTTGGGATTTTTCTTTTTAAATACTATATATCCCAATGAATTTGATCTCACACGCGTGCTCGCAATTGCAGTTACTTCACGTATGGTTGTTTTCTCTCCTTAGATTGCAAACTGGCTAGGGGAGGACCGGAAGCCAAATTATATAGTTGCCATATTGATGAATAGAAAAGTTTGAATGGTGAGTGAGCTTCATGTTTACAAAATGATGTGTCCAAGAGGATTTTTCCTTTTCAACCCTTGTTTGTTACGCAGAAGCAATGGTTAACCCAACTAAATACTCCCCCCACTTTCTTTTCTTCAAAAAATGGCTTAAATTAACAATAAAATGCTAATACTCGATCAAGAGGACACTTCCGACTGGAAAGGCCGTATAGTCTCGACCAAAGGAGTCACTGCACCCAATAGTCCCAAGAGTGAATCCAGATACACAGTTGGGGTATTTTGTTACCAGAGTTGACTGTCACCCACACAAACATCTAGTCACCTAAATAAGACACATATCATCCTCCAAAAGAAGTCACCAAAAGGTAAGCCTTCCCCAGCAGCTTTTACACACTGGTGGGGAATCTGGTAAGGATTACCTCCATACGCCCACTAGACATGGTATATATATAGGAATGGCTATCAGGAGATCTGAAAATCTTGGGAAGAACTGGACGAAGGTTCTGAGAGCGAGGAAGAAGCTATGTTCGCCTCAAAGGGCCTGCCACTAACAACAACTAGGGAATCCATACCAAGTTCTTCAAAAGTACTTTTCCAAAGTCAAAAAAACCAAAAAAATAAATACAGCTGCTTTTGTTCTATACAACACTCTCTAGTCTTTTGCAAAACCCCCTCAGTGTATTACATACAGATTCTTTTCTGTTGCTGTGGTAAAACGGCATTCTCAAGTCTTGTTTTCATTTTAAACTAGTGGGCAAAGAATGTGCTAGGAGGAAATGTTTCTTTTTGACTTGGAACCTCTCAAAGTTTGAGATTTCGTTTTCCTCTTCCTCTCTAAGTCCTTGACTGAGACACCTTGTAATAAAATATACAAATTAACAGGAGAAAAACAAAATTACTCACAAAGATATGAGACTAAAAGGCAGCCAGGCAGTTGAGGCTTATATACACACCATCCTGGCCTAAGGAAATGGACAGGGGTCGGGGCTTCAAAGGGTAAGAAGACAATTCATAAGAAGATGTGAAGAGGAAATTTTTGGCAAATAAATGTTTGCCTTGACATGCAGATAAGTCTCTCCAATGAAAAAGGTATCTCTGGTAATAACTCTCTTGCTGGCATAGGCTCCCTTTCTAATTTCTTTACATATAAAAAGGAAGGTTAAAAAAAGCTTCTCCTGAATCCACTGGGTCTCTATTGCCTTCACCTCTGTATGCCCAAGTGGCATATTTTGAGTAGCACATCCACTCCCCTCACGCTTCTGGTGAGGTAGCCTTAATGATCCTGTCTTTAGACCATTAGTTTGTTGTTCATTTCTTCCGCATTACTTGTTTATGAGAATGATATTTCAAATATTAAATAAAGAAGGGGGACGGGGTGCCTGGGTGGATCAGTTGATTAAGCTTCTGATTCCGGCTCAGGTCATGATCTCACAGTTTGTGAGTTCAAGCCTCACATCGGGCTCACTGCTGTCAGCAAGGAGCCTGCTTGGGATCCTCTGTTCCCCTCTTTCTGCCTCTCCCCCTTTAGTGCTCTCTCTCAAAAATAAACATTTAAGAAAAATAAAAAAGATTCAGTTATAGAGTTTTCATTTTTTAAATTTTTATAAATTTGATTGAAGCCATAAATTTCTGCATTCAGTAAATAACTGCTGAGAATCAATTATGTTCTAGAAAATTTGTCCTTGGGACACAACCCTGAGGAATAGAAGTAAGATCTGTAAGTGAGTCATCATATGTTCATAAACTGGTTCTAGAAGGCAGAGCGATGGGAGTATATACATCAGAGAAGCTCAGGGTCAGGCATGGTTTCTTTGAGAAACTAAAGAATATACCAGAATCTAAAAGATATACAAATAAATGATGGGCTGAGAGTAAAGATGAGAAACAAGAAATACTGTAATATGTAAAGGTCTTGAGGTAGCTCATGGTGGAACATAGAATGATTAAGGAAAAGAAAAACGTTTGTCTGGAATGCTGAGAACAAGTGAGAACTCGGAAACAGACAAGACAGGAAAGAAAGGAGGGGGGCATATCACATAGGACCTTGGAAGCCATGTATTTTGGTTTTCATTCTAAAATCATGCAGAAGGTAGTAGGTCATAAAAAGTTTTAACCTAAAAGCAATAACACATCATGAAAAGGTAAGTCAGTTGCTACTTATAAAAATATCACTGTGGATAAAGAGAAAATTAAAGAGTGGGGCAAGAGTGTCCATAGGGAAAGTAGTTAGGAAAATGTATTTGATGCGTAAGAGATCGGATCAGTGTGGTGACACTGGAGACTGAAAGCAGCCGGTAGATATGAAAAGTTTTTCTGTAGGAATTAAATTGAAGGCTCATTGACGGGTTCAGTCTAGGCGCCTGAGGGAAATGGGAAGCCTCACAGGTGACCCTCTGCTTTCTGGTTTATGCAGCTTGGTGCACAGTTGTGCTATTCGCCGAAATAACGCGGGCAGGAAAATGCCAGCTGTGGGCTCAGGGGAGCAGTACATTTAAGGCACCTGTGAAATTGCAAGTGTAGGTGTTGGTTGGGCAGCAGGGCCCAGACTCAGAAGAGAGGTCTACAGGAAACATAATATGCAAGGTATCGACATGGCCAAGGCAATTACAATATTAATATATGCAAAAAGCCAAGTGAATAGGCTTGAAATTTTATTGAAAACACAATGTTTGGCCTTAAAATAACATTTTGAGCATAGGCTACAGTGGGAATGGGGTTTTCCTGGCTGTTCTCACTCCCTGTGAGGAATGAGCATGTGTAGACAAGTTTGGATTATTGCCTTTCTGTGGCCTATCAGATGCACGCTCTGAGCTCCAGGCTGCAATAAGAATAGCGTATCACATGTGTAGTGCCTTTGAAACCAAGTCATTGCATATTTTTCTAATACTTCCTTTTGGGATTTATCTATTTATTTAGTTAGTTTTAGTTTTTTTTTTTTTTTTTTTTTTTTTTTTTTTTTTTTTTTTTTGGGACAGAGAGACAGAGCATGAACGGGGGAGGGGCAGAGAGAGAGGGAGACACAGAATCGGAAACAGGCTCCAGGCTCTGAGCCATCAGCCCAGAGCCCGACGCGGGGCTCGAACTCACGGACCGCCAGATCGTGACCTGGCTGAAGTCGGAGGCTTAACCGACTGCGCCACCCAGGCGCCCCTAGTTTTTAAAAAATATTTATTATTTTTGAGAGAGAGAGAGCACGTGTAAACAGGGGAGAGGGGCAGAGGAAGAGAAAGAGAATTCCAAGTAGGCTGTGCACTGTCAGCACAGAGTCTGATGTGGGGCTCAATCCCATGATCTGTAAGATCATGACCTGAGCCAAAATCAAGAGTTAGACATTTAACTAACTGAGCCACTCAGGCACCCCTATTATATTTATTTTTTTTTAATTTCAATTCTGGTTAGTTAACATAGTGCAATACTGGTTTCAGGAGTAGAATTCAGTGATTCATCACTTACACACAACCCCCAGTGCTCATCCTAACAAGTGCCCTCCTTAATGCCCATCACCCATTTAGCCCATCCCCCACCCCCTCTGTCTGTCAACCTTCTGTTTGTTCTCCATCCTTAAGAGTCTCTTGTGGTCTGTTTCCCTCTCTTCTTCCCCAACCCTACATGTTCATCTGTTTTGTTTAAATTCCTCATATGACTGAAATCATATGGTATTTGTCTCTGACTGACTTGTTTCACTTAGTATAATACATTCTAGCTCTATCCTTCTCTTTGCATTTTAAATCCAACTTGTTGCATGAGATTATTTAAAAATATATGGCTTATTTTTAGCTTGATGACAAATTTGCAGGAATAAATCACACTGAGCATTCAGGCATTTGTATTCATATCCTGCACTTTACAATAAATTGGATATGGGAATCAGGTAGGGGCCTAAGAGGTTAGAAATTTGAGGCATGAAAAACAATGAATTTGTGATTTAACCAGGACAGTCAAGGATGAAATTAAATAGATTAGGGAAGTCCATTTCCAAAGTAGAACGTCATCAGCGAACCTGCCTTTCATGTGGTGGACAAATTATCCATGGACCATAGAGAACACTATCATTCAGCCCCCAAAATGCTTTCTAGTCTTCATTTCGATCTCCATTTTGATATTTTGAGTAGAAAGTACATCACTGGGCATTCCACCCAGATCACTTTCTTTTCAAGACAATTCTGAATATACTTCAATATTGAAAATATTTTTGTGCATTTCAAAACGAATCAGTTATGCTTTCATGAATGCATGATTCCAAAGCAAATATTTTAGCTGTTGTTAACGATGCTATTAATGTATTCTTTTTAGAAACCTACTAGTCTCTCTTCATTAATATTGTGGTCTAAAAATGTTAAATTACTTTTGGTTTGATCTCAAATAAAGCACTTTTTAGACATGAGAACATCTTACTGGGGGAGGGGTGGAGCCTGCTGGAAAAGAAAGCTTGGGGAAAGTCTCCTAATGGGGACTGACAGGGAGGAACCACAGCTGGGCCTCTGTGCCTGGGCTGTTTGTGCTGCTGGGGACATAGTGAGAACACAGATTTCTCGGCAGCTCTCATGTTCAATGGGAGATTGTAGCTGGCCAGAGTGTAGTTCAGAAAAAATCAACACACGTTCTTTTAGGACCAAGTCTTAAGACAGTACGAAGAGTACTAAGGTTTGAATATTATAAATATGATGGTTTCTAAGATTAATGTGGTGCAATTTTGGTCTGAAGGAGTTCCTGTGAGAAAGACACACTGATTTTTTTTCAGTGGGGTAATTTATCCAGTGGAATATAATGTGCACTGAAGGAATATAGAGAAGAGGCATTTAATCTAACCAGCAATGAGGAAGATCTTCTAGTGAGGCGATGCCTTGCCAGGTTTTCTAAAGAGAAATAGAGGTCAACCAGGGGAAGAAGAGGACAAAGGGCATTTGAGCAGATGGCACAGAAAACACGAATTTGGGTGGTTGTGACTAGAGAATGGACTGAGGGTAGAGAGGGTAAGGCATTTAGGTAGGGTTGGGGATGGGGAGTCGGATTTGGCTTAGCTGAGTAGAGAA